AAATAATCGTATAAAAATATAATTTATTCATATATGTAACTGGTACACATATGAACGACAGTAAAAAAATACATTTGCTGCCAGTTCTCAAAGGGCGTAGAACGAACGAGAGGAACTGGCAATCAACTTTTAATCGCCAAGGTTTTTTTACAAATAGGTAAAGGCTTAATACGAAATAATTATTAGTTCATGATATTTGACTACAATTTTGTCAACATTTATTGCATTATAAAGCAGTAAAATGTGGAGTAAAAATTGCTTAAATAGTAAATTTCGTAAGTGGATCAGCGATCGATCGATCGATTGATCGACGAATCTTACATCTCTATGAATCAAGTCCTTAAATCCTTGGCTAGTTGGCTGGTTTATATAATACCTAAGTAGAGTAGCTGATTAGTCTGGTCTTTCTCAGTGATAATATAATTTGTTTCTATATGTTATAGCACACTATTTATCAGCAGCCATTTGGTCAGGTTGTCTTTCCACTTGGGCTTCCCCTAGGTGATTCCACTCGTCTCTTTCACGACCTGATCTTTGCCTTTAAAGAAAACTGCGCTGAAAAACTTTCCTTCAAGAAATGAGCATACCAATTCTTAAAAGTCCGGTAACGCACTCGCGAACCATCTGGCCTTGAGAGTGTCCATGGGCGGCAGTACACTTAACATCAGCTGAGCCTCCTGCCCGTTTGCCCCCTGTTCTATTAAAAAAACTGAAATTCATTAATACTTTAATATAATAATAATAATGTAACTTACGTAACAGGTCTTCGTTGATACGCGGTGTTTATTAACAGTATAATCTCCGGCCTTAAAGCCTCAGTCACAAATTTCAGGTCACCGACCCCACCGGAAGTACATGGCTCGCCAGAGATTTATTTGTAAACACATGCGTCAACGCTCTCGCCCAATACACTGATTGTTTGGTTACATCTATATTGAACTTTATTACCTATATGCCATGTCTTGTCTAAACTCATATTATGGGAGACTCATAATTATGGAAACGACTTAATGGTTTTTATTAAGAAACTTCAAAGTTTGTTACGATTAAATAATGTTATCAAGTAAGTGCTCTCACAATTCCAAGCTCGACAACGACTGGACTTTGGCTGGCGCAGGATTTATTGCCAGTTCTTCTCTATAGTTCTACGCCCTTGATTTGAGAACTGCCAGTAAATTTAAAATTAGAAGCATTTAATATATATTTCTTTTTTGACGTTCATAGGTGTACGTTATGTTAGCTATATGAATAATTAACTTTTGACTTTTTCACTCTGCGTGTTACATGTCCAAAAAAAAACTGAATGCGTTGAGTTGATAAAAACGTGTCAAAAGACGGTTTTGTATCTGTTACGGTCTTAGTATGGACACGTTTTCTTAGCTGTCCAGAGGGCACAAGCATCCGCCTCCAACACCACATTTCCAGAGCATCTATTTTTTCTCTTATCTTGACTAGACACCAAAAAATATTTATTACGATGTATATTTACATTCAATTTATTACCGCATTTTGTCGGTGATTGTTTAGTTTGGACGTCCGTGTTTATTTTTTCTTCATATGGATTAAAAGGGAACATTAATGTACTGTTTAGTTATAGTCGAAAATGGAATCTTGTTCCTAAATTGGTAATGGATAAATTGGAATTACCTTTGGTTAAATATTATTCTAGAGGCAGAGTTTAACTTGATTCTCATCATTATTGATATTATATAAGAGGAGTTCAGTGACATACACACGTACAGTAGAAATATATATATAAAGATGAAACCTTATTGTAACGTGTAATTAACTATGCGAATGCTATGTTTTGGTTTGGTTTTGGTATGCAATTGAATTACCAAACCAAACTTAATAAGAAATGAGAGCTAAAATTAGTCCAAAATCTTTCTTCATTAGGAAGACATCAATAATACGTACTGAAACAACTAACACCCAAAAGCATTAGCAAGCGTTTAGGCAAACATAAACGAATACACAAAATAATTATTGTGATATAAATAACCTTATTCCCGAAGGGGTAGGCACAGACCACGGATCTCCACTTGCTACGGTTCTGACATTCCTCTCTCGCTTCTACTTCCATGACATTCATCTTATCATGTGTGTGGTGTCCCTTCTCTAGTCCTCCTGGATTTGGTCCAGGTAACGACAAGCCCTGCCCAACCCGATTTCACCATCCAGGGTTGCCTTGTATATCCTACTTCTCATTCTTGGCCAAACCACCTCAGCATTCTCTTTCATATCCTTGTCATTACGTTCGTTAAACCCACACTGCTCATACAAAAGAATAATAAAAAGCACCTCGCACCTAAATTGCCGCGTTAAACCTATTTAATATTACCATATAAAATGCGTCATAAAAAAATAAAACCGATTTCGTAACTGATAAAACCAACATACTGTGTCAACGGTCATAATAAATTAAGCTATAACATAAAAATTATTTCGACACATACGCTATAAATCCATTATTTTTAGTACCACAGTTTATAGGTCTGCGCGAGAGTATTGTCTTAACAGGAGTGTAAAAATATTTTTATTGCGTAAAGATAATAAAAAAAAGTCCACGCAATTGTGGATCTACAAGTCTCTGCAGCTAAACGAAGAAGTTAAAGAAGAGAGTGAGAAAATATACCTTCGATAACAACGAATCATTAATGTTAATTACCTATTTTTATTAATTTAACTAGACATATGTTTATAAATCAAATTTAGCTGCGTTAATATGACTTAAGTTAAGGTCTTATGTCCAGCGTAGAAAAGCAGCCTGTCCCATCCAGTCATCCGGACCGATACTAATTTATTAGCCAATCATTTCGTACATATATTTAACAGAGAACTAGCGATTATGCATTTTATATATTCTTTGATGCACTATGTAAACATAAACGTACACAGTTTGCTGTTTTTAGTATGTATTACTACATTTATATGGAAAATAAACACTTAATTTCATGCATTTTTTTATATTTTATTACGTACAATGCCATCTATTTACTGACAAGTAATATATTATAAACAGATCGTTACTTAACGAAATGCCATCTAAAGTTCGCTTTACAAAGAGCGCTGTGTACTCGGCTACACAAATAACTACAAAATAGTTTTAATTGGTACATCAATCATTTCTATTCACGATGTTAACTCATAAATATGATAAGTTATCACTTTCATTGACTCAGTTGAAATGGATATGATTTCGTCATCGTTATTAATAAGTAATCCATTGTCCAATATATTTATTCCTCAGTATCCTTTATAGGTAATTTTTTAAAGTATTTTTAATACCGTTTACCGTCTCTATCCGTGTATCTCTCTAGTAGTAGTATATACAAATAAGTAGTGCATAGTTTGGATTCGAACTCATGACCACTGGGTTGAGTAGTGAATCATTCTCAGCTCTCTGCCATACTCAAATACAGAGTGCACACTGCACATATTATACGCAAAAACATCCATTTGTATACTAATACACACTTACGGCCTTATACGAATTTTGTTTGATTAGATGTAACACTAAGACTACTTTTTCTTTTAAATAAAATGTTTTTACCACGCACCATGTACCACGGAATAATTGTAATCTAGTTACCAACAACACAGAGGCTCCCTAGCGTTAGATAAATTTGGTCACAACCATATTTTTGTCATGAATAAAGTTAAATTATGATTGTTATTATTATTTACTTAATAATATTTTTGCCATGATTGTATTTAGTAAATCTATTTGAGGTAAACTGTTTCGTGCGTTTGATTGTTAATATTATAGTTAGCTCGTGATGACACAGTCCATTAAACATTTATGAAATATCGGGTCAATATTATAAGCAAATTATGGAAACTGTCCTAAATATATTTACTTTCATTCAAATTATGAATCAAATCGTAATTATAGCGGACTCTTGTCGCGATCTTTGCTCTATAAACATTATCTTAATGATATTGTTAACATTTAGAACAAAACATTAATTATTATATTTTGATTAAGTTGTTTTGGTAATATGAATAAATGAAAAGGAGGTATTATTAAAATATATTATATAAGTTTAAATATTACAAAATATATTGTTCTACTAATTTATATGTTAATTTAATGGGAATCATTATAGTTTATTATTTTACCACCGTTGTCTATTCTATATTGGAATAAGTCTGTAGTCTCTTGGTGATACAGCATTTCCATTTACGGTGAAGTAAGACATTGGAAACCTAAGACCCAAAAATCGATGGCATGCGAAGGTCACGCAGATACAGAAAACTGAAGCCAAGAAGAAGGGTTACAGCGCTGCTGGTTTGTTTAACTCCCCTGCACTTAAAGCAATGGCGTCTTCGTTTTACCCTGTTTTTTATGGTCGCCATCATAGCAATAAAATCACATTATTTTCATCATCCTAAACCTCACAGTCTCCTTTCTAAGGTTAGATGTCCTTTGCATGCCTTAGAAAATCGACCGTGACCGCCATGTACGGTTTAGGCCCGGTACCGGATAATCCTCCCAAAGGCAGAAAAAATAATTAATTTAATAGAAATAACCTTGCGCTTCGACCGGGAATCGAACCCGATCACCTAGTAGCATAATTAGGTGTCCGCTAGGCTACGAGACCCTTTCCGAATCTTACCCTAAGATTATGAAAGAAAAGCTTACCAAACTGACCAGATATCTATTTTATTTTCAGTTATATACAATAAATAGCAATAAATCTATTTAAAACAAAACCTGTATCCCAAAGCTTTCACAAATTAAAGTTCTCCGGTGTCAATAATTCACCAATTGTCAAACACAATAGTCGGTCACCCGCTGCCTTCTTCGAATATCGATACACCACAGGCAACACTTTTCATTTATTTTAATTGAGCTGTCATTTTGGCGCATTGAAAAATAAAATGTCAAAATTTTCCGTAAACTCGGCGGGGGTCTTTTAAAATAAAAACAATATTTAATGTGTCAGCTTTGGAGTCTGAATGTTAGACTACGCAATTGATGTTATATAACAAACAAAATGATTAAATTAGGATTTTACCGAAACAGTAACATAGTTGATAACGCATCCTTCGAAGCTGACTTCGATTCCTGGTAAAACAATTGTTTTGCATTGGAAGATATGCTCGCATGTAACAAAAGTAATGAATACTTCAGCCGTAGAAATAGGTATATTTTTCCTACCCATACATACATTTAAGTCAAAGATATCATTTATTTGCCAATTAAACTATTAAATAACCTATAATTATTATGTTATTGTAAAAATTACCTATAATTATTCTTCATTCAATGACCATCGAAGCAAAGAGAAGGGAGGTCCCGCCCAATAGGAAGGTTCCGTTTTAATAAGGAAAAATATTTCATGCAATAATGACTCAATTAACTATGTGGCTACAAGGTCAAAGGGGCGTTTTGCCTTGTATATTAATGTTGTTTATGTATTATACTGCTTTAATTATAAAAAAATGTATTTTTAACGATGTTTTTCAACTGTAATATAATATAACAATATTATTTTAAATCAAACCACTAAGAAGTCTTAATGACATACAATGTTTATATAATATATAAAATTGAAAATTTAATGTCCATGAGCTAGCGCTTTTCTCACCAACCACGTATATAATTTTGTACTATATATTTATATATTCTAGTTTAAGGGACAATCAGTAATAATTCAATAAACGTGTGATAAGAAAAAGAAGATAAGAGTATATTATGTTCACGTTGAGGAGGTATGATATTCAGGGCGAAGCGTTGGACGGCCTCCCACTAGGTGTACTAAGATGACCTGGTAAATATGTGTTGAATGCAGAGCTCGGTGAACCGGTCGTACTGGAAATTTTGGGGACTTACAGTGGACGTCAAAAGGCTGAAGTTATATGAAAATGTAATGTCCAGGCAAAACAAATTCAGTTTTTTTTTAAAAAGCAAAAATATATTTTTCTTGTACGTTCTATCTATACTCAAATTATGTAATTAGTTCCAACGAGTACATTTTAAATGAACGACTGTATATGTGCACCTGCAATTTTATTTTATTAGTATATTTTTTAAAACAACAAAATTATACGCCATATAAATCACGCTTAAACCACGGTTTAATAAAAATGTTAACACTAAGTTTTATGTCGCTTTAATAAGTTCGCAGTTCGTTTACCCGTATATAAATTAAGATTAGATAAAAAATAACAATGAATAAAGACAGATTTATCGTTTTGGGATTCTGCGAAAAATATCGGAATATCTTTGATATAAATATTTTATTAAATGCTTTAAGTTGAACTTGGCGGGCCTTGGGTTCTATTTTCATGGAAATAGGAAATAGGCTGGAAATTGTCTATTATTTATGGGACAGAATGTTACAAATAAGTTTCTTCCTGTAACGCCGGCAGGCAAGTGCGTTGTCGGCTTTTAAAACTACATAGTTAATAATTGTATAATAAACTCTTTATCCTGATTGATCCATCACCACCACCATATAGAGCCTATACCAATTGAGGCTGAAACCACTGTAGTGGTGTCTTTTTCATGATTAATTTAGTAGTATTTGACAAGAGTTATATCATATTTTTCTTTATTAATTACAAGAATATTACAATCCACTGTCGTAATGTGTTTAAATCCAAAATGCCTGAAAACCTCATTTGTTTATTTATGGTCGGCTAAAATCTAGTAATTTTCGCAGCTACGAAAACATACCTGATGCGCAGTTACCACAAACCAGCTACTTATAAAGTGCTTTAGATTTGTAAGTTGACCAAGGATAAAAAAGATAATATTACATTACAAACTGGTTACATGAAAATACGTCTGTATTAACGATAATAATCTATGTTGATTGGCGTGTATGGACACGGTACATTAGGTAATAATATTACCACCTAAGTAGTTTTTGGAACCTAAAATCAGCTTTTTGAAACTGGTATTTTAATACGGCTGGCCATAGTTATATAATTGAAAGGTATATAATAATTTATGTGTTTAATGAAGCAGAGTTTATTGCCAGTTCTTCTCTTCCGTTCTACGCCCCTTGATTTGAGAACTGGTAGTAAATGTAAAATTAGAAGCATTTCATATATATACATACATATTTAAAGAAAACACTTTTTAACCGGATTAAAGTTATGTATTATTATAAATTTACAATTATTTTACATAATTTTAAATTTAACCGACGTTTCGCGTGCTTTACAGCCTGCGTATTTATAATAATATATAACTTTAATCCGGTTAAAAAGTGTTTTCTTTAAATGTGTAAAGGTTATGTCAATAAAAGACAATAATAATAATAATACTATGTACATAATAATTTTTTTTTGATGTTCATAAGTGTACATTGTGTTACCTATATGAATAAATGATTTTGACTTTTGACTGTAACGTGGAAACTGTTAGGTCTATTAAGAATTTTTACGCTCTTTCTCGAACCCTAAGTCGAATTGGTTCGGAAACACTTCAGCGGGCAGCTGGTTCCACATAGTGGTGGTGCGCGGAAAAAATTGGTGGTTATTAACTTTGGCGCCGCCAATCGGATAATCACGTAATTATGTAATGTTTAACTTAAAATACTTTACTGCGCTGAATGACTTTATGGTTTAAGTGTAATATCTTGCTCCCCATAAATGATCACGAGCTTTCGAGCTTTCCGACCTTGTTTACTTAGGTTCGATTTTGTAATTAACTCATATCAACAATTGTATTATTAAAATACGTGCGCAAGATTCCAGACAGTAATAAAACGTTCCAATGTTAATTAAACACAATAAATAATTAAGTTTCGCAATAAAATTATGAATAATTACCTCTGTAAAGTTTCTGTAATTATAACAATTGTAGATAATAACGTCGATTATATTTTATAGTCTACAATATGGCGTTGTTTGTTTATGGCTAGAATAAAAAAGTATATTTTTATTTCTTGTCTCTTAGCAACACTTTTATACAATTTGTTAGTGCATTGGCTACTTAAATATAAGTTACTTTGATGCTTTAGATTCAAAATAAATTATGTTCAAATACACAGGTCACACGTGTAAAAGCTTGTTGTGACCCAATCGACATTTAAATGGAATACTTTAGAACTCCGTGGGCGGATTTCAAACGGAAGGAACATTTTGATGTTTTTTTATATATAACAGGCGGCAAATGGTTTGCTCATCTGATGTTAAGTGATAAGCCATAAGGCTCGCAAGCGCGTTGCCGGCCTTTGTATACTTGATGAATGTATAGTGAAGTTCGTAAGGCCACAAAAGTGTGTCCCTTTCATGTCCTTATAACCCACAAAAAGACGTATACCTAACAGGACGAGCTGTCATCGCATAATATTGAATGACTAAATAATTCTCACACAATGACCCTTAAAAACACAGACTGCGAAATCTGTAAAACTTGTTTCTACTTTCTTCCTGTTAGGCATTAGTCTGTCCTCCTCACACCCGGGATTCTAGTATGGACCGTGACGTGTCAGAGAGAGATAGATGTCATGAAGACGTCACGCTGTGCAATGGCGCGCGAGTTGCACTTTTTATTTTGTTGCCAGACATATTTTTGTTTTTTTTCGATCCCAACGTCTTTGTTCGTCTGGAGTTGGATAATTTCTTTATTCTGGGCAGACAATTTTCTGAGATGCATTATTATGTTATGATTCGCGTAATAATTTTATTACCGGCAATGGAATGCTTTTAGCTTTTATTCTTTTGCGTCGATGCATAACTGTTTTAACTGATTCAAATAAATTCAGATATGTTAAGTGGATAATACTATGAATATATTAACGCTTCTAAAAGTGTTTTATTTTAACTATGAATACGTCATAGTACGACGAAACAAGACTTGCCTTTAAATAATTATATTAATAAAGATATCCTCTTCTTCAGGTTAGCAGCAGCAGCGGCGGCGGCAGCAGGCGCTACCAGTGAGCTGAGTTATCTCGCAGCACTTCACCCGGCCTACAGGCCAGTACCGTACGACCATCCATTGTATGGCGCTAACACATTACGAGGTAAGTTGAGCTTAATTCACTTAACTATAGTAAGAACAACAAAATATTAAAATCCCTCCAGCCTCGAGTTATGTAACCTAACAGTAGTTAAGTAAGTTAATATTTAAAAAATGTAATCAATCATCGCACACTTGAAGCCAATATGAGCCCTTTAGTTTTTGCCACACTCATAAATTGTATTGTTTCGTTTCCGATAATGTCCAATAACATAAGTGTCACTTAGATTTACGAACTCTTTAATAAGTCAAGTTTATATTTATATATATCTGAACATATACAACAACCACTACCGAACTTAATTCTCGTTTCACACCGTATGAGCCGTATTAACTCAAAATTTGTGACGCATCCCCTTGATGGCTGGAAGCCTTCCACGGCCCGCTGCACAAGACATTTTCTTTTGCGAACTGTGGAAGAGACTCTTGGTGGGGGTCGTAGGCCGGCAACGCACCGACTAAAATGGGTGTGCATGGGCTGCGATCACTGCCCTTTTAGGGCGTCCCGTAAGCTAGTTTGCCCTGTACTATAAAAAAATATTAAAATATGTTTTAATAGTTGACGTACTATACTCACACAATACGAATTAGACCACTACCTGATTGTACACTGCGTAAAATATTTGTATGAGCTTGTAGTTCGCACAAAGTAACATTTAACAATCAAAACATCCAACCTAACTAATAACTAGTAATTTTAAAATAACCTTATTTACTTAAAATGATATTTAATAGGTACAAGAAAACAATAACACTACTTACTGTCTCTATTAAGGGGAAGACACTCTGTTCGTTTACTATTTTCCACTTACCACTGTCTAGCACTAACGTGCACTCACACTTAGTCACTAATTCGAACGGTTTTGCGCTTTTCAATCTTCTCACTAGGCTCATGGTGTCAACATGAATAGCCTCGACATTCACGTATTGGTGGAGCCTTTGTTCGTGGACTCCAGAAATCTATTTGGTTATTGTGGCGTCGTCTACTTTAAGGTCCCGATAGAGGTCGTCATTACGAATGTACCAGGGATGTACCTATTCCTCAGAGCACTTTGTTTTGGAATCGTTGGATATCTCTAATGGGTTATATTTGATAACGATTTTATAAAATCACTAGCTGCCCCCGCGAACTTCGTTTCTCCTTAATGTCATTTTACTTAGCCTACCTTTTGTACATACTAACATGGAACATTTTACTATGCTACCCCAGAGACTGTTCGGTTTTCTGGAATGACAACTTTTTAGGTTTCTCTGTGAATTTTTCTCTATATAAACCTCAGAGTTCAAGTCATAAGATTTTAACTAACCAATAAAAAATAGAGGTTGATCGTAGAGGGGTTGTATGTATTTTTGTATGCTGTATCATAAAAAAATTAAAACAAAAAATTGTCTAAAAAATTTTGGGATTTGAAAGATATTCGATTCTCAGACTTACTGAATATGCATAAAAAATTTCATAATCGGTCAAGCTGTTTCGGAGGAGTATGGGAACGAACATTGAGAATTTGATATAAATATAGAGATTATATATATTTCCTATATATATATATAATAATTTTCAATTCAACATCAGCGTAGTTGAAACTCGTAAACGTCTCGTATCACTTTATGTGCACCTACGTGTAGTATTACTGAGTAGTCAGAACTGAGAACTGCATTTGATAAGGCTCACGTTTTATCGGTTTTGCAGTATTGCATAGACTTCAGTTCTTGGTATGTTGATATATTGATATATAGGCAATTCAAACTTAATACTTATTGTGTTTAAACTAAGTTTTAATAGTACATTATCGTACTTAAAAAAGTATTTATTTATTTGCTTATCAGCTGTAGGAACAGCTATTTATTTTAGAATATTTAAACAATTATAGACAAAAGCCAAAAACGGAATACATATTCAAACATAAACATAGTTAACAATAATTATTACATATATACAAAAAAATATATATTGTAAGATTGCTCAATATTCAATATAAAAGATGAATAACAAAGCCATTATATCTAATAAAGGATTCCAGAGTTTTTGTATAATTTTTAAAGTATTTTTTAGTTACATTAAATATATCTATTTGCTGGTAATTTGTTATAATATGAAGGGATATGATACATGACTGGAATTGGGATAGTTTAATTAGTGAGAGTACTTATATAATTCTAGGAGATTTATTTTATTATACATATTATTAATTACTTATGCCCTACTCTGGCTTTGCACAGCTGATATTTTTTTAGTTTAAAAAGATTATCGGCTGTGAAATACATCTCAATTATTTGATGTCAAAAGAACGACACTTTTAATTAATAAAAAAAGTGCAAGCGTACAAAGTTCACATGTCAGAAATGAAACTTCTTTGGCAAACTAATTTTTAAGTCTTGTTCATATTTATACAAATCTAAAACTTTAGATTTTCGAGACTTAGAGGGAGGGAAAAAGGAAGATAAGTTAGGAATTTAATGAATTTAATTCTCATTAAAATATTAAAAGTGTCGAAAATTAATACAAATAATAAATTTAATTTTTTTTAATTTATTTCTTCTATATTAAAAACACGTGGTATTTTAATTTACAATTCGTCATTTGAGATTTCAATAAATTATTTTGCTTAAAATATAAAATACTAATATTTCATAAATTCTCTTTCACAAATTATAATTTTAATAATAGAATTTCTATTAGGTAATTCGCTCTCTCCCTTTTCTACGACAAAAACGCTGCACATCTTCGTGACGTTCCTAAAATGTTTACCCTAATGCAAATTTTAGTTTTTGGATTTGATACCATTAAATTTAAAAATAGAAACTACTAACGTCTTAATTGCAATGAAATCCCAACCCTTTCCATGCCAATTTTAAACCACGCTCGCTCCCTTAATAGTCACATTTGCGTATCTCACATCTAACTATTTTATATTCAATTTTGTACTCTACCACATTGAATTAAAGTTTATTTTTATTTAAATTATATGTCGCAGTCGTGAGTTCAAATCCTAATTAACACCTTCGTGTTTAGATAAATTGAGACGATAGTGAGAACTCTACGGTTGCACAGTTTTGGGTCTTTCGGCAAACAATTTTACTTACATATAATATCGAGTAGCTTTAGTTAGTATTAAAAATATAAATTACTTCATCTAATGTAGACTTTCATGGAATATACAAGTTTTACCAAATTGTACGGAAACAAATACAATATATATACGTATAGGTGCGCGTTGTAATATTAAAAATGCTATCGACTTCTAGGAATCCCATCATCAGGTCCTGATCTGATGATCGTATTACATATGAAGATCATAAACAATAAAATAAATCAGTGGCACAACAACCTTTTTGGGTTTGGGTCTCAGATTTCTGTATTTCATGATCATATTTTGTCAATCTAATATGCAAGTAGGTGATCACCCTACTGTGCCTGACACACGCCGTGAATTTTTTAATTAGAGATTAATTTTTTTAATAGAATTAAGTAATTTAGATTAATTAAAGCTTCCCTAGTTTTTGAAGAAGAAGTCTGTAAAGTTTGGACAAAAACCCATGAATACCTTTGTAATTGTAATTTTGTTTGTCCTATTTATTTTGGTTTCAATATTTCAAGACTTTTTAACATAATATATACATATTATATAACAGGAAATTTATATAAATAAAAGCCGTTTGGAATATAGCGAGGCAATACTATGGCTTAATGAATTTAATTAAGAAAGAAAGGGACAAACCATAACCTAAATATATTATATATATATATATGTATCATATAAATATATTTTTTGTGTAAAAATAATATTAATAATTATATATTACATATTATATTAATAAGGGAATAATAGTGACTTTTTTATAACCTAGAAGAATATAGGTCTGTAGTGAACGCTCCTTCCGGTCACTGGTTTGTAATCCGATAGGGCTCCGGTCTCAAGTATAAACATAGCACCCGGCGGGATGGTGTCATGCCACCTTTGTTGGCTTTTCTTTTTGAGCTTTATTATCTATAAAAGTCAAAGTCAAAAATCATTTATTCATGTAGGTAACACAATGTACACTTATGAACGTCAAAAAAAGAAATATACATTAAATGCTTCTAATTTTACATTTACTGCCAGTTCTCAAATCAAGGGCGTTGCCGGGTCGGCTAGTTATTTATAAATAGGTTGATAATGATAAACAGAAATAATAGCAAAAGTTCTAAATTATTTTTCATATATCTGTAACGGTTGAATAAAACCATCCAAGTTTGAAAAAATCGCACCTAATTGAGCGTTATCTACGGTTGTAAGGCGAGTCGGTTGCGGTAAGTCGACACTCCAGGTCTCTGGACGATTTCGGGCAGCCGCCGAAGGTTGCCATCAGAACGGGTCGGCCTTTTTTTAAAAAAGATTTTCCGCGAAAGCGTAACTTAAGAAACAAAGGTTTGGTTATTTTTTAACGATTTTTAATTCCTCCTTTTACATATATCTATATATTATGTACCTATAATTAAATTGAGATATCCATTTATCACTTCCTGTTAGCATTCGTTAAAAACCTGATTAAACGCTCTATCAAGCATGAAATATGATATTTAAATCACGGACTAAGTATTCAATTAATAAAAAAAGGCACCGAGCAAAAAACCTTCGCAAAAAAACCCTATAATTTATTATAAAAACCTTAATATCATATAACATTTTAACAATATAATTAAAGCGGCTAGCTCACCCGACTGTTATGCTAAATATAGACCGCGGTCGACTGCAAAATTTCGCAAGCGAAGTGACATGCCGAAACTTAATAACTTACTCAGAAATGCACCAACAAATTGGGAGCCGGTCCTCCAACCGGCTCTGTAACCCTACACTGCCTTACCGAACTCTCCGACACATATAAATCGTATTTTTATTCAAATCGAGCTTGCGTGCCGCGATAAAGCCTTCTTAAAAACAAATAAGAACTCTTTTAACAAGCGACAATCGAATATCAACCTTATGTTTAGGGAATAGAACATATAATTGTGTTGGAGATACTCAAGTTTTAAACGAGGCACACAAGAAGCTTTAAGATTGCAACGGGGATGTTCTTTCCGAAATAACAATTAAATTAAGCGGAACACGATAATTCTAACAAACTAATGTACTGACAATATATATATACTATATATATATATATATACTATATTATATATATATATCGACGTAGGAAAGCATATTTGCTGTAAGTAGGACAAAATACCTAAAGTGACTTTTTCCTGCCATTAGAATCAGAAAAAAAGCCGCATCGAATACCTGATGTCTCTATGAAAAAAATTACCGCCGTTGAAAACCCGTACTTATATTATTTTTAGCAAGATTAAATGCTGTATGTAGACCAAAACTAGTCATTTCAGCCATTTTGCACTAGATAATGCATTTTCTACAAGATATTAACTTCATTCTTATATATTATTAACCAAATTACTTAAGATGTCCTGCACTGCATTTCTAGATCTAATCATAATTATAAACTAATCTTACATCTTGAATTGCAATTAAAAGTACCCAAATACATAAATTTTAACAATATTTACCCTGTAAATAAATATTCGACACTTCCTATTAATTTTAAAGGTTTATGATTAAAAATTTTTAATACCAACGTAAAAACTTTTGAAAAAAAGTTTACATTGCAAATGGTGACTGGCAGTAAATAAATATATGTCAATGGTAGCAATATCATGGTAGTCAATAAGTTTTTGCTCTGGTGAACAATGCAATATGTCTCTTACAGCAAATGTGCTTTCCTGTCGATATATATATATATATATATAATATAATAATAAACATACAAAAAAAAAAAAAAAAAAAAAAAAAAAAAAAAAAAAAAAAAACCCCAACGGGAAAAAAAAAAAAAAAAAAAAATTTAATTATTATAAATTACTTAAGATGTCATGTGGAACGTGGTGTAACGTCAGTTGTGTAAAACAAAAAACGTGGCGATTAAAAAGAGTGGCGGAGAGTTTATTGCCAGTTCCTCTCTTCCGTTCTACGCCCTTGATTTGAGAACTGGCAGTAAATGTAAAATAGAAGAATTTCATATATATATTTTTTTAGACGTTCATAAGTGTACATTGTGTTACCTATATGAATAAATGATTGAAAATAAGTCATACGACGACAAAAGGGAATTAATAATTCGCGTGTTAAAAGCTTCATTTTCGAGATTTCTACTCAATTTTTATTGGTTAGGGCTCAGCCTTGGCTAGAGTTAAAACAACTGAGTAATAACAGCACAGGTGATTAAGTACAAGCCCGTAAATGGGCGCGAAGTTAATTTACTGACGTCATTTTAACACCAATTAAATCACGACTCTGGAGTCATAAACGAATCCCCAATCAAGAATTCCAATTTTCGATATATCGTTAAACGTCTTTAAAATCGATACGCCGAATTATTATTAATGTATTCGTATTGAATCGGCGTATACGTCTCCGTTCGATAATCGTAAATTAAGCTCCAACTGGTAACTGAGCGTAAAAACTGAACCAAAGATTGAGAGTTCATGTTACTTCGGAGTTACAAAAGGAAAAAGGCTCGAGTGAAAAAGTGAGAAGGATAGCAGATGTCAAGTGAGTGGATGGGCCTTTGGTACATTGTTAAAGTGATAAAGAAATGTATTATGATGAATTCTGGCTGGTTAACGCCATTGCGTTTATAGCCGATATGGTTCGTAATGTACTCACGCTGTACTGTGACATCAGTTATTGGACGTAGATTGCCTTTCTCCTGGAGAAATAATAATTAATTTATAATTTAACTTAGAACGTGGTTTAAAGATACCACCTACATGATTAGGACTTTAACAGGAATAATAATAAATAATATTTCGTTGTAAGTTAAGCAGTGTTGGCCTAGTGGCTTCAGCGTGCGACTCTTATCCTTGAGGTCGTAGGTTCGATCCCCGGCTGTGCACCAATGGACTGTCTATGTGCGCTTTTAACATTCGCTCGAAAGGTGAAGGAAAAAATCTTGAGTAAACCTTGCTTTAGCGCAAAAAGTCGACACGAGTCAGGCACAGGTGGCTGATCATCTACTTGCCTATAAGATTGGCAAATGATAATGAAACAGATACAGAAATCTGAGGCCCAGACCTAACAAGGTAGCGCCACTGGTTTTTTATAAACAATATTTACATACAGTGTTTTAACCCAAAACATAATAGAATAAACGTAGTTCTTAGTTTCTTTGTCAATTAATGCTTATAAAATATATTTATAAACAAAAAACTTTAAATTAATGTAAGTCAATTATCAATTTTACAATACGAATGTTACCGAGAACGGAACGCATTATGATTATTTAATCAACCCTTTATGTATTTAAAGGCACTTAAAAACGTTCCGTTTATCAAATGAACCGAATCCCAGACCCTAATCATTGTCATGGTGAAAGAGAAACCGGAACGAGTTTTAGAGCGAGATAGGACGAACATGACAAGTCGTCGGATTAACGAAAACGAGATTGTATTCGATGCAACGTTTGGCTTAGCCATACATTGCTGAGTTTGTTTCGGTAATGTTTCTCAATATTTAGTTTTTATAGAACGGGGGGCAGCAGGAGACTCACCTGATGTTAAGTGATACCGACAGAGACACTCTCAATGCCAGAGGGCTCGCGAAGGCTGCTTTTTGGTACGCTCTTTTCTCGAAGGATCCTAAGTCGAATTGGTTCGGAAATACTTCAGTGGGCTTCAGGTGGCTCCACTTATTGGTGGTGCACAAAACTGCCGTAAAAGCGCTCAGTTGTCCAAGGACAATGAGGTGATACGGGTGGAATTTCGTAATATGCCTTGACGTCTGATGATGACAGTTATAATATACCTATGATAGTTAAGATAAAAGGTGTCTCTTATTTGCAATTTTTAGATTATAGTAAGTGCAACGGTTTCCTAATTTCTTTTATATTGGTTATTCAATAAATCTATTTCCAAATTTTTTAATTATATTCCAAAAATGTACTCTCGTGCCGCCGTATACTCAAAAATCGCTATTTTGACAACTTTGTTAATTGACATTTATTTTATTATCAAAGCTCGCCAACGCTCAGCACACTGATACTTAAGAAAAATGTTGTTATAGGATTTAATGTGACAAGCACTTATAGGCAAACATAACAAACGCGAAAAGAAGAAAAGGAAAATTGATTTCAAAGAGGACCTAGCTCGTTGATCTGAATGCTCTTTCCAAGTTTTGGCCAAAATGCGTTCTTCTGAAAGGAGGGACAAATACGATGCCTGAACATGAAAGAAAACAGTTTTAGACCGTTGCCAGTGTACCTATTAATTAATGACAATCGTTATTCAATCCATCGTAATAATTATAACCACAGATATTATTAATATAATCACGGAGCAATGTATAACGTGTTGATAAAAATTGTCACCAGCATACAGGATATTTTAAAAATCAGAAGGCTTAATTTTGATTTCGGCTTTAATTGAGCCACTTTTTATTAGAAATGTCTCTGGAATTTCATGTTATAAAATTGGGATACATTTGTGTATATTTTTTCTCGGTCGAGCAATGCGATTTTATGTCTTGTTGCGAATTTTAAGTGCGTCGGATTTGCATAATGGTTTTGGCATAATGTGATTTACAAATTACCTTCTTAAGTTTAATATTACGTTAAATTATACAAGGTTAAGGCTCTAAGCTTTTAAATTGAGTAACTGTAAAAAGCCCGAAGCTTTTTTAAAACAATTTATTATTAATTATCCAACAGAGACAAACTTCAAAGGAATAATGTTGAACAAAAGGATAGCCTTTTTAAAATTTGCTTTTAATGATACATATACAAGTTACAAATGTTATTTTGCTTATACAGATAGACAGGGAATTAGCTAAAGAAAATATATGTTTTAAAAAAAACAATATCCCACTAAAGCTCCTAAGAGAGCGTGGTGATTTTATAGTGGTATTACGTGATTTAAAATCTAAACAAGACTCCGCGAGAAATAATGACGTCTTTTCTTGTTACTAAAGTTAATTATATTAATGCTTGATTAGTTAACGACTGATTTTAGTAGGTATATGACAATATTTTTAACTTTCAACTGAATCTAAAAATTATAATATAATTCGACTTAGGAACAAAAAAAGGGTGTATTAATATTTTAAAAGGCCGGCAACACAACTGCCTTCAGGCAATGTGTGTGTTACAAAAAATAATATTTTTATAAAAATAAGTTTTAAGTCAGTGTTCACCAAATGCATTTAATTAGATTAATGCTTGATTAATTAAATGCCTAAGTAATTCTTAATCGACTGTAGATACTATAAATTGCAAATACTTAATATTAACTTATAAGCTATCTATCAATGCCAATGCAACAAGGCCTGCTTTGTATGATTGACGATATACACCCCATAACCTGCTGTGTTCGTAAAGTAAAATACGTCTTCAGCTAAAGTTACAACCTTTGTGTTAATGTTATTATCATTTTATACAGCTATATTAATATGAACTGGTTTTCATGTTAACAGTTCCAATTATAGAAGTTAAAATTAACTAAACTTGAATAATTAACTTCCAACCAAATAATATTGGTCATTTATTAATCGCCTTCAAAAATAGAACGTACCAATTTTTAAAAGGCTGGCAACGCACTTGCGAGCCTTTTGGCGATGTGAGTGTCAATGGGAGGCGGTATCACTTAACATCAGGTGAGCCTCCTGCCCGTTAGTCTTCTTTTAAATAAAAAAAATATTTTGTTAGCTTTTTAAAGGCTTTTATGGTCTAGGGCTAACTATAATACATTCTATATACTAAGGATATATAATACTTACGTTTCTTAACCAAATATATCCTCGATATATCC